CTGCTACAATTCTGCTGTGCTTAACCGCCCGGCCTCCTTGCCGATTCTGACCAGAAACTGGCGCACAGAGCTGGGATCGAACCCGCGCTTCTCTGCGCCAATCTTGGTACTCTGAACTTTAACCACTGGGTCACCCTGACCTAACTGGGCCACGTAAACTATTGATTGTTGTTGTTGTTGTTCGTTGTGTCCGTCACGCTCGCCGGGGGGAGGGTCCGGTGGTGGCCGGGGGAGGGGGGGGGCAGGGCAGGCACCGAAAGAGGAGGGAGATGGGGAATGCCGCAGCCTCCACGGGACTGTCCCACAGTGAGGGGACGCTGCCTCCACGGGGCTGTCCTACAGTGAGGGGACGCTGAGGGACGTGGGGCAGGCGGGGCAGGCGAAGAGATGCTAGACGGACTGGAGGGGATCCCCGCACTCTGGGCAGGCGGAGCTAGAGGAGCGTCCGATCCTAGCGGAGTAGGACGCCAGGGAGCAGCAGTATCCCAAACTGGGATAGCGCCGAGCGGTACGGTGCGCAGAAAAACCGTTGAAGTTTTGGGAAGTAGGAATCCTTTGTGAAGTAGGAATCCTTTGGGAAGTAGGAATCCTTTGGGAAGTAGGAATCCTTTGGGAAGAAGGAATCCTTTGAGAAGTAGGAATCCCTTGGGAAGTAGGAATCCTTTGGGAACGTATTCTTCGTGACAATATTGCTCTGGTTACCCATGTCAGGCGGTAGAGGGTTAAAATGCTTATATTGTCTCCAATTAACGGAAATCTACCAATAAATATTGTTTAACGTATCCTGCCCACCTGACCCACTTATCCTGCCCACCTGACCCACTTATCCGGCCCACCTGACCCACTTATCCTGCCCACCTGACCCACTTATCCTGCCCACCTGACCCACTTATCCTGCCCACCTGACCCACTTATCCTGCCCACCTGACCCACTTATCCTGCCCACCTGACCCACTTATCCTGCCCACCTGACCCACTTATCCTGCCCACCTGACCCACTTATCCTGCCCACCTGACCCACTTATCCTGCCCACCTGACCCACTTATCCTGCCCACCTGACCCACTTATCCTGCCCACCTGACCCACTTATCCTGCCCACCTGACCCACTTATCCTGCCCACCTGACCCACTTATCCTGCCCACCTGACCCACTTATCCTGCCCACCTGACCCACTTATCCTGCCCACCTGACCCACTTATCCTGCCCACCTGACCCACTTATCCTGCCCACCTGACCCACTTATCCTGCCCACCTGACCCACTTATCCTGCCCACCTGACCCACTTATCCTGCCCACCTGACCCACTTATCCTGCCCACCTGACCCACTTATCCTGCCCACCTGACCCACTTATCCTGCCCACCTGACCCACTTATCCTGCCCACCTGACCCACTTATCCTGCCCACCTGACCCACTTATCCTGACCCACCTGGCAATACAGTCAGCACAGAAGATATGGGAGCAGCTGACCCACTTATCCTGCCCACCTGACCCACTTATCCTGACCCACCTGGCAATACAGTCGGCACAGAAGATATGGGAGCAGCGCAGTACAGCTGGGGCACGCAGCTGGTCGTGGCAGATGGGGCAGCGGCCGCCGCTGGCGTCCAGCTCAGACTTGGTGGGCACGCTGCCGTAGCTCTGCACGGGTGTATATAGAATATAGTATGTATATATAATGTATAGTATATGTCTATAGCGTATAGCATGTATATATATAACGTACTATAGCATATATATATTAGCATGCATATATATAATGTATAGCATGTGTATATGTAACATATAGTATGTGTATATATAACCTATAGCATGTGTGTATATGTATAACGTATAACATGTATATATAACCAACAGACAGCATGTATATAGCGTATAGCATGTGTATATAGCGTATAGCATGTGTATATAGCGTATAGCATGTGTGTATATAGCGTATAGCATGTGTATATAGCGTATAGCATGTGTATATAACATATAGCATGTGTATATAACCTCTAACATGTATATATGACTTATAGCTTGTATATATAGCGTATAGCATGTGCATATACCGTAGCTTATAGCATGAATATATAACGTATAACATGTATATATAATGTATAGATAAATACACTAAGCATACCCTGGATAGGTCTAATCGTGTAGTGGGGAGAAGAGTATACAATGTAATGCATAAATAATAACAAATTTTATGAGAAGTAAATGTTTAACCCTGGACGATATTATAAAGCAATTTAGTGGATATTTAAATTAAAAATAGTACATAAGGAGGCGGCACACAGTAGCGCAGCACCGCACCGCACGGCGCCAGGCCGGCGACTGCGGCCAGCGAGCTGCCGCCTGCCTTATATACCCGGGGCACCGCGAGGGCAGCGGCCAACCCTCAACTCTGTTGTGACGTCACCCAAACTCTGGTGACGTCATCAAGGCGCGAGTGACGTCACCCAGACTCGGGGTGACGTCATCAAGGCGCGAGTGACGTCACCCACAGTCTAGGTGACGTCATCAAGGCGTGAGTGACGTCACCCACAGTCTGGGTGACGTCATCAAGGCGTGAGTGACGTCACCCAGACTCAGGGTGACGTCATCAAGACGCGAGTGGGTGGCAAGATGTCAAATTCCCTATAATCTTTGGCGCCCCCAGCCTCCCTAAGGACCCCCAGGACCCGCCCCTCACCCCCGTGTTGGCCCTGAAGGCCCTGATGGACCCCCAGGACCCGCCCCCTCACCCCCGTGTAGGCCCTGAGGGCCCTGATGGCCCCCCAGGACCCGCCCCTCACCCCCGTGTTGGCCCTGAAGGCCCTGATGGACCCCCAGGACCCGCCCCCTCACCCCCGTGTAGGCCCTGAGGGCCCTGATGGCCCCCCAGGACCCGCCCCTCACCCCCGTGTTGGCCCTGAAGGCCCTGATGGACCCCCAGGACCCGCCCCTCACCCCCGTGTTGGCCCTGAGGGCCCTGATGGCCCCCCAGGACCCGCCCCCTCACCCCCGTGTAGGCCCTGAGGGCCCTGATGGCCCCCCAGGACCCGCCCCTCACCCCCGTGTTGGCCCTGA